CAGAAGTTTTTAAGTCTGTAAAAAAGAAGTTTTTGAGGAAGAAGAAGAAGTAGTATTTTTTTTTAGACTTTAGAAACTCAGAAGCTGATCAAATATCGGGTTAAATATCGGTGGGGTGGCCGATGTCCAATAGTCAGTTTTAAGGCCGATACAGACCGATACCGATATGGGGCCGATTATATCGTGCATCCCTACAATGAATCATTTTGTTTTTTTTCCCCCATCCTACTAACTCAGCTTGCAGACAAGATACATTTGCGTCCAAATATGAATGTTGTATTGTAGAACTAAGTTCAAATATATATATTTTGTAAAATGCAAGTTGGAGAATTTACTTTGGAGTTTAGCAGCAGCTGCTATGCTGCATTCAGGTCCAGCTCGTAAACTAGACCATCACACATCAAAGCACATCAGAATTGATTTTAAGCACGTTTTATGATCAAATTTGAACACAGTCTCGTTTATTTATTTTTCTTTGAAACCCACCAAATTTCTAGTCCATTCCAGAATTCCCAGTTGTAAGTTTTTTTAAATGTCAAAATCGAACATTTAGAAATAGATTTTTTGTTTACTGCTGATCAAAGTTAAATCAATGTCACCTATGTTTATTTATTGTTTTCATCCGAGTGTATAAAAAAAGTGTAAGGAAGTGTATCTTTAAAAGCTGGTGACAAACAGAATCGTGATATTAGTGTACCGTTACACACTGACTGGAAAGCAGCTAGTTTCCTTGTTCTTAGGTGTCAGTATGCCTTTAAATTTTGAGCATATCGTTTTGTTTTATTTCTGTAAGAACAACAAAAGCAGCCATTGTTATTAAATGGTCATTAAATTCATTTTTCAGATTTTACAAAAACCTTTTTTTTTAATAATTGGTTTTATGCTAGCACTCATTTCACATTTGTTTGGTTCATAAAACTTTCAATACATAAAATAGTCTAAATATGTAAAATCCTTTACTTTTGTTTCACTTTGACAGTCTTGGTTTATAGTTTGTAATCAATTCATGAGCTTGATTTGAATCTTGACACCTTTTGTTTGGGAAATGCATTGTTTAGCTAACTGTTGCTTTCTGTGTACATTGCAGGTCAGTGGATTTCCTGCTGGACTCAAGTCTTAGGAAGGTCTACAAGGAAACAAAGAAGGAAGAATAAAGGGGGTGATGCAGGAAAGACTGGAAACTCGCCAGTCTGTTGACCTGCACTGGTTATTTAGACCATCTGGAAAGCAGACATGTATTAGAGCAATATTTCACACTTACATAGTGATATACCTGTTTTACTATAGTTTTTTACAGCAGAGTTGAATATTTATGTAATAGGTCAGGGGGTTTAAGGGGAAATCCTGCTCCTGTTTTAACTTCAGGGCAGACGGTTGTATTACCAAAATGAATCTAAAGGAGAAAGTTGTCAGATTATAATAGATCATATTTTTTTCTGCAGGGATAAGGTGAAATACCTGGAAGGCAATGAAAATGTTAGATTTTGCCATCTTTGAAAAGAGAACTGAGCCGTTTACTCTGGATTTTCTATCATTGAATGCTTGATTTCTTCTAATTAGCCATATTTAATGGTACGGTAGTATAATGGCAAGTCAATGAGCCTGGTTGAAATCAAAGTTTTTTCTTTTCCTTGAGAATATTTGTTACCAAAGAAAAAATGCAGCACTTAGCTGAAGTTACTTGGGGCACTTTTCAGTCTATCTTTCTTTTTATGAAGGCCAGTGAACCTTTCTCTAAAGCCTTCTTTAAACAGTTCATGTTTTTATTTTTATTTCTTATTCAATACACTGTATAAAACAGGTTTACAGTTAGAGATGGCAGTTCTAGATAATTAAACACCCTACACAGCATCAAATGTCAGTCTTGGCTTCAAATTACTGAGGTTGCACAGTTTTACATTTACAGTATGTATACTCAGCCTGAGCCAAGAAAAAAAAAACAGACTGTGCAATCTAACTTTACCTCTAAAATAATTTCACTGTACGGGAAATTTAAACTTAGCATTGCAGTGATCAGATACACATTAGGTTAATATTATCTTTATGTAAAATTTAGGAATAGCACATTTATTGATGCTGCTTCAAGTCTGATGCAACATTTCTTAGAGCTATGCAAGGGAAATATGTGTGTGTATATGTGAGCTTATATAGCAGGGATTGGTTTCTGCATTCAGAATAGTAGGTCAATTCTATATTTTAAAATATTTAGAATTTAAGAAAGGAAATTTGAGTTACAGCTGGATCAACCTTTAACAGTTACCCTGGTTTTGATCTGTCTTTACTTGTTTTATCCTACTTAAGGAAAACCTGGTTCCAAGATATCTAATTGCATCAGGAATTTGCACAACTTTTTTGTAGATCAGAATGTCATCCCTAAAATAAATGTCTTTTATGCTTCATTTTTAACCACTTATGCACATATTGTGTTACTTATGCAAAAAAAAAGAGGGTCCCAGAGGTTTTTTATCAGCCAGTTTAATTCATCATAGCAGTGAAGCCAAATGTTCTTCAATCCAAACACAGAGTTGTAGCTGTGCCACAATGCTTCACAATATTTTATTGATCCATCCTTTCCTGCTGTGGTGTTATAACAACCACCTAGAACAAAAAAAAAGTAGACCTCCCCCGTAAACAAATGTTTATATTTATGTAAAATGTTAATCTGATTTTAAAGAGGCTTTAGAAACTACAGTTTCTGTTTACTTTTTGATCAATGTGAACCTGGGTCATATTTCAGCCTTAATTGAAAAGAAACCTAGAAACGGTTTATCACTGTTGAATTTGAAGCTGAAATGTAAAGCAAGTTGTTTGTGTTTTGAGTGTGTGCAATCTTCTTATTCTGCTGTTTTTTGGATGTGGGGAAATAAAACATGTACTGTCTGAAATGTCTCTGTATATTCGATTATTTTTTCTATCCAATGTCTCTGTAGATTGCCTCAATAATCTTTCCCTCTATCATGGCTGGTCTTTCAGTTTCTGCTGCCTAAAAAGCAACCCATATAGTGTGCTACCAGCTCCATGCTTAACTGTAGGGATGGTAATGGTCTTGGGATGAGCGGTGAGCCTGGTTTCCTCCAAACATAATGCCCGGGGTTCAGACAAATGATCTTTGTCTCATCAGACCAGAGAAGTTTGTTTCTCATGGTCTGAGAACTTTAAGTGTTGTTTTTTTTTTTGCAAAGCTGCCATTAAATCCTAATTGGAGGCTTCCTGGAAATATGGTCTTTCTCCCCAGACCAATCTAGAAAGAATCCCTGTGGATCCAAACTGCATTTAAAATGATGGAGGCCATTGTTCTCATTGGGTTCTTCAAACAAGCAGAACTTTTTCTGTATCAGACCCCAGATTGTACATCGAGACAATCTTGTCTTGGAGATCTGCAGAGAAGTGCTTGTTTTTTTGTGTTTTTTTTTTGCACTCAGATTAGGGCAGACTGCCCCATATAAGTATGTAACTACATAACTTCTTTTGGAAGTATTGCCTCATGGCAAAATAAAATAAAATGCTCTGTCTTAAACTCAATAACATGGAGCTAAAATGTGAGGAAGTTATTTTTTTGTGGGTGTATGTCTTCCAACCATTGGACTGCTGATAAAACATTTAACTTTTCTCCTTTATATATAATCTGTTTGATTCTTTTTCCCTAATTTTATTTGGAATTATGGTACTTCTTCCATCATTGTTAAACCTCATTTTTCTTCTGGTAAAATATGGAGTGTTATAACTGATACAGCTAATAATTGAACTTATTTATATTATGTTTAAGATGTTATTTTACTGATAATCCAAAATAATCCAAAAACTTGAGGTCTAATTTATTTATTTCTCATAACATGCATTTAAAATATCCTAATCTGGCTATATTACTATTTGTGTTTTTCCTACAACTAATGGCCTTTCTTCCATTTCTAAGTAATGTTTTGCAGTTGGGAAATTTTTGTAAAGTCTTAAAGCACAATGTTTTATTATTTCTAGTTTCCATAATGTTTTTTTTCCCATTAAATTATGATTATACTTTACAATCCATATTTATTGTGATCAGTCCTTTATAAATCAGTTTTAAAGCTATTCTATCCACTCCACAGTCATTACTTTCCAAACATTTCATATTTAATTTTGTCTTACATTTACAGTTTATTTGTGTTAAATTCTGCTTATTAATTCTGTGTTTCTGTTTAAAATTTGAACAGTGCTCTTCTGGTTTCTTTAATCACTGTCGTATCTCCTTCTATACCAAATAATCCTTCTAAGCACCATGTGGGCCCCACTTCTCTAACTGGTTTCCTCTTTTTATGGCTCTATAATGGACAGTGTGTAATATTTGTTCAGAGATTTTGTTATAGTTCACACATTTATCCTTAAAATATTTTCCCTTTAAAAAAAAAAGAGCTCCAATTGGTCCACCCTCAACAGCCTGGATCTTCTTGTGGTTGTTTCCTTTTTTCTTGTTCCTTCTTTATAATTTTTTTTTTTTATGACAGATTATTGTAATTTGTTTAAAACAGCCAACCTTTCTGCCAAATCTTGCCAAAGTGTTTTCTTGACTTTTGCCAAATGGAGCTGTGACTGACCTAGCGCAGGTGCCACTCCCACCCAAGTGCAATAGAAATATATATACCCTATATATATATATATATATATATATATATATATATATATAAACAAGCAGTTGACTAATAAAGTTGTTTTTCCCTGGATCCGGTGCAATAAATATTTTTGCACTATTCTACTGACAAAGGACTATAAGTCCAGGTTATAACCATAATGCCCAGCCAACCTTATTAATAAAGAGTGTCACACTTCATAATCAGCACGCTCTTACCAAAGGTCTGAATAAAGAGAATAATTAAAATAGATGAATAGAACATAATAGTTTGAAATGCATTAAAAACCTCAATTCACAGCTTTGTTTTAATATCACTTTTATAACCCATTATTTCATTGGTAATCATATTTTTAGTTTTTTTTTTAAGGTTATTCTAAATAATTGTTTCATTAATTTCTTTTAACAGTAGATTAACTTTGATGTTTAATTATTTGTTTTAGGGTATATTTTATTAGACATAACTATAATTTGGTTTGATTTATCTGTGAGCTGTACATTTTATTAGCAGATTATGTGTTTAAATTTTGATACTTGGTACTGAACAGATGCCAGGGACCTCCAAGCCAATGAAACAGAGGGATATTTAAGGAAACAGCAGCAGCTGACCAGAGAGCACCAGTAATTGGGCCTGTTGAGTCAGAACACAGCTGATTCCACTTCTGCTGATCAGCAGCACAGATAAAAGGCAAATGAAACTCCTAAATGTCTCAGTATAGTCATGTTTATGCTCCATTTTGTGCTTCTGGCCCATTTGTTCATGCCAACTGTTCTGTTGGGTAAGAATGTGAGACTGTTTGCAGCCAATTGGTTGATAAGTAGATTGTTTTTTGAGTTCTGATACTTCTGGTCCTTGTCTTGTACAGGCTCTCCTGTCTTTATCAATGGCCGCTGGGTAACAGATCTTGATAATTTAGACTATTTTGATCCAGATGAAGGTACTCCTTCACCAGATGAGGATATGTTGCCTGACAACTCCTCAGAATCAACTGAACTGCTGCCACTTGACATCCTGACCTTCCAAACAACTCCAGAACCCAATCTCATATTGGGTCAAGGTTTGTTCTTCTATAATGCTAATACCTCTAGGATTATCATCATTTGTTTTCTGCCTTGGAGGCTCAACTCATCTTTTTCTCCCTCTGTAGATTCTAATGAAGTTCATGACTTGAGGGTGTGGAAGATTGTCGTTGTAACAGCAGTCCTCCTGGTGTCTCTAGTTGGATGTCTGGGCACAGCTTACTACTTCTGTATCTGGAGAGGAGGCAGGATCCATTATATGCCTCAGAAGACCTATGCTTAAAATGTGAATAAAGCAAACAATGTTCAAATTTTAAGTTTTTTTTTCCAGTCTTTTGTTTTATACTTTCAAAACTTGTGCCATGACTTTGTAGAGATGTCTTTTGAACTATTTTCCTGAAGCCTGTTGTCTGGCATATTCAAGGAAGCTTGCAGGGGAGAAAGTCAAGATATGTTTACATTATGAGATGGCTGATTACTTTACAATTGGTGCACTATAGCAGCCTATTATAGGGTCTTGTTAAGTGCTTTGCAGCAATCTATTAAGGTCTAAATGATGGACTGAAATTAGTCGTTGTAAAGTTGGTCTTTGGATGGATAAACTGAATATCAGTTTGCCTTATGACAGAAACCACAAGTATTAGGAAATTGTGCTAGAATGTTTTCTAGAAACCTCAGTAATGAAGGCTTTTTTTTATGCAAGTAAAGTACCAGGACTGATCTTGATCTAAAATATTGCCTGTAGTGCACTTTTAATTCCAAGGTGTGTTGCATGGGTTTTTATTTTCCTTATGCCTTTAAAATGATAGAGACTATAATTCTGCAGGAAATCCAAAGATTGGTGCAATGTTTTCTCTGAATTGCTTTTAATGGTGGTTAGAAAAATTATGCTTATAAGCTTATGAAGCCTATCCAAAAAAAATGGTGCCATAAATTTAAGAAAAGTTTAATCAGACTTTTGCATGGTATATAAACTGCTTAAACTAAGATACAGAAGCAGAATTGAAGACTTAAAGAAGCTGCCAAACATCGCTAAATGGATGTCAAAAGCAGTCTGCCTAAGCCCACTGGTAACCATTTTTATATAAGTTTAGAATGACTAAAGCCCCATTTCTAAGCTTCAGCCTAGTTTCAAGCACAACCAACAGGAAGCTACTGAAATGTAAATTTAGAGGCATGTATAAAATAGCCAGAACATAAAGCCATTGGAGGGTTTAAAAGTTAATGGTATGTATGCAGTGGAACAAAGAACAGATGTTTGCATATTGGTTTCTACCAGAACCAGCATCTCAACATGCTGTAGGTGTTGAAGATGGGCCTGACTGATCCCAGCATGAAGCGAGTTGCAACATTCAAGACGATTTGTGGCATAAACCTGGATTATCTCCAGATCATGTTTAGATAAGGCCGGTTTCAGTTTAGCAACTTGACGTAACTGAAAGCATGACGGCTTCCTCCGAGTTCCTTTCATAGTCTAAAAGGAACATCACTAAGATGCAGCTAATTTTGCAGTGTGGAGCATTGTGGTTCTTGTCCATCCTGTACGGTTGTGACTTATCGCCAAACTGTCACGGCTCAATGAGAACTTGTTCTCGCTTCTCAAAAAGCATATTGTGAAAATATATTGAAATGTTTGAACTAAAAATTGGAAAGAAGCAAAAACTGAAACTTTTTCTACAATGAAGTATGTGATTTCTAAAGCCACTAGATGTCAGTATTAACTTCTGTTATTCAGCAGTCATTCGTTGCTGGACAGTGATTTATATTATTGTATAGTGGTTGTTTGTCAATTTAAAATATATCAAAATTTATTTATTTCTGGTAAATTGATTTGTAATTTATTTACAAATGTATTCACGTTCAGAAGCCAACTGTCTTTTTTGTTTTTAGGCTTAGATCATACAAAAATGTCTCTACCAATAATTTAAATGTTTTCAGTTATTAAACACAGCTCCCATTAATTCTTCAGCAAGTCTGTTTTCTCTTACAGCCATCCATCCCTCCTCTGCTTTTCTATCAGTCTCCACTCAAGCGTCTTTTTGGATGCCTCTGGCAAACATTTTGGACTTCATACAAATTCATCTTGATCAGAGTTATGGCAGAAGTGGTTGTCAAGCTGTTGGCAAAAAAAAAAAAAAACAGTGTACTGCTAAAAGTAGAATAATGTTTTAATTCAGTGTCAGGCAAGCGAGCACAGATCAAACCCACAAACATTTATAAGTCCTCCTTGAGCAATATCAGGTGGCATTAGGGGGCCCAAGGAGACAA